CGTTTAGATTTCCAGAAGTACCGCAATTTCTCCGCGAGACCGCCGGCCGTCGTCGGCATCTTTTTTTTTTTCCTTTTCTTTTCTTTGCTTTTTTTGCCGCTCGCACGGAACGAGCTCCCGCGAACATAATCAGCTGTTTGTCACGCTCGCAAAAGAGGAAGGCCAAATTTTTGCCCCAGACTGCTTCGACGCGAATAACGTAATTAACAAAAGCATCGTTTGCTCCCTCCCTCACATACAAAATATATATCAATATATACACAGAGAGAATTAAAATTTACCCTGGAAATTATGGTAATCGTGATATTGGAAGAATTTTATAAGAGTTTCTCTGATTAAATATTTATCACAATAATATTTAAAATATGTTCGATTTATTTACTATGTACACATTAATATTTTTTCTATTGTGGTAAATATTAATTAGAAAAACTCTTATAAAATTCTTCCAATATCGTATTGTCTCAAGATTAGCATGATATCGGAGTCAATTCGAAGAGAAAATTCTCCCCGTAAAAAAATGTTGTTAACTTGACTAAACCTTTCAACTAAATATTATTTTACACATATAAAAATACTTAAATTAAATATAACATTAAATTTAAACGTATATTTGACTTAAATACTAATATATATTCAATTAACGAAATAGTATATATAATTTAATTGAAAGGTTTAGTCACAAGTTAACAAATTTTTTTTCAGTGCGTACACTTTCAACGAGAGATGCGTTATTTTAAATATTACGTTGGCAAATTTGACAACTTATTATCGATCAGCTGATCCCTGACCTACATATAAGACTATCACAAATCATCCTAAAATAGACAGATGAATATGAAGAAATGGAATATCTTGCACAGCACATATATATAGAAAGAAAAGACACATGTTGTCTATGTATACATATATCTTACATGTCTATTATATAGACATATATCTTTAGTATCTCACATTTTGTCGGCCGGCGAAAGTTCCTTAGAGATTACTGTGGAAAAGCATTGGCTAAACATTCACTTTTCCCCCTCCGCTCCGAATGATTCACACGGGGATGATTACTCGAAAGCGTTTCGCGTTTCGGGTTCGCCGAAAATCGCGCGCGCGCGCACGCCTATCTGTCATTGCAACCATCCCACTCCTCTCAAATTGACGTCACTCGCGGAACGTGTCAAAGAGGCGCGCGCGAACGAAACGGTTCGGAACTGGTTCAACGAAGTCGACCGTTCTAGACGAACAATACGAACCTCACGAAGAGAGATAGGACGAGCGGAGGAAGTAGGTAAAGAGAGACGACGACACGGAGTCGCGCGGAGCACGTGAAAGGCGATTTAAAGGGAAAAAGGAGGAGGCGGCCACGATAAAAAGGAGAAACACGCGGAGAAAGAGAGAGAGAGAAATAGACGAGTATAGGGAGGGGGTGGAAGGAGCATGGCGAACCGGTCGCAGCCTCCGCTCGTCAGCTGGAAGCTCAGCTGCAGCCGGGCGCGGTGACCTCGACGTTGCAGAGCGGCGCTTCATGGAAAAGCGAGTCGATTTGCGAGCGATAACGGTGCCATGACAGTCCTCCTCCTCCTATCGTCCTGCCGTTTCCCCACCTTCGAGCTTCCGCGATACGATCGGATCAGATATGATAATATAGCGTGCTTTAAGCCAGACACCAACGTATGGTCGAACGATATCATGCGTGTAATGGAATTGATTTAATTAATAAAAAAATCGTCGCGTTTTTATCGAATTGCATTAATGATATTATGTCGCGAGCAATATAAAACAGAATAATATAAAAATATAATATGAAAATGAATATGAAAATATAATATAATATAAAAAATATATATAGTATAAAAATATAATATAAAATAAATATAATATAATGTAATATAAAAAAATTGGTTATTACATTACACGACGATCGTCATATTTATAATATAGACGAATATAGTAGATTGCTTATTCGCGAAAGTAACTCTTTTAATTTTCTTTTACGATTTTAAACGGCTGTTGATTCTGTGAGATCCTTTCTTCTTTGTTTTCTGTAAACAAAATTACCCCGCTCGAATAATTACTGCTCGCGTATTGTAATCGCTTTTACTGCTCGTCGTGCATGCACACTGCTTTTTTTTTTGTTATACGTTTTACATTTAATACTGGGATATAACAGTTTTTTTTAATACTCTCATATGACACATATATGTACATTTCTTTATATTTACAATTTATGTTATATAGTCGACAGAGCGTTTTAATAAAAAGATAACAGATCTCTCTCTCCCATAGAAGAAAATAAATATTTTTCCATCTATATCCGTCTATATATTCCTCTTCAAAAGTCATTAATATATACATACGTATATTTTTTTTCAATTTTTAACTTGTAATATTTACGTAACTACCTGTTTAATTAATATTTCATTAAATATCAAAAGGTATAAATACCTAATATCACAATAATCTAATATATATATATATATATATAAACGAAAGGGACACTCCGTATAATTAAATTTTACAATAAGAGGGTTTCAGAATTAAATTCGCGCAATGTACGAAGCTGTTCTCGACGATGCCTCTCAAGAGTAGCATAAAGACGAGCTACTTTAGAATGAATGACATTGCATGAGATTACTTTGGTCCTCGGCGGATTATTTTACGTTATCCGCAGCGAGAGATTCGTAATGAGATTTCATGACTAAAGCTAGACGACTATAACGAGTGACGAATACATACACGATTATTCTAAACTCTTTGTAAAATCATTCCTTTGTTTAATGGTCAAAATAATTACACGAATGCTGAATAAATGCTGAATTTATGCAATCGCTCGTTCGCGCAATTTAAATACGGTATTTAACGAAGTTCGTCGCGATTTTGAAGAATCTACGTACACTGAAAAAATGTGTTAGCTTGACTAACCTTTCAACTAAATATTATTTTGTTAATTGAACATGTAAAAATATTTAAATTAAATATAACATATTAAATCTAACAAAATGTATATTTAACTTAAATACTAATATATTTATGTTCAATTGATAAAATAGTAATTTAATTAAAAGATTTAGTCAAGTTAACAAATTTTTTTCAGTGTAGATTTCTTGAAATATACTTGTCAAAAATCTAAATTTTATTTTACGCGGAAACGTTTCACACAGTATAATAGAAAATTCAATGAATAACTGTATAAGCGACTATATAAACGACTGCTAATTTATATTTTAATGTCATTATTCCTTATAAGATTCTATAGATACACCAGACAACTCTCGCTTCTCATCCATTACTGTATTCTTAATTAAATCTGCATGTCGCGGACTATAAAAATTACGCGTCTATAAATAGAGAGATGATTTTCCTTTCCAAAATGAGGTACCGATTTCTCCGCGATTGTTCCTTTCTAATAGTATCAATCGGGTACCATGTGCAACGTGACATCGTCGTCGAGGTCAGCACCGGGAATCGACGAGAATCTCGCGAGGTGAAATCGCCAATGTGTCACGTACTCGTACGAGAGGGCGAACAGTCATTTCTGCTCTTGACAGGAGCGTAAAAGATGCAATTAGAATGACAGGATGATGGGTATAAGTCTCTCTCTCCCTCGCACACGTACTTTTCTTTTTCTAAAAATTGTCACGCATTATGTAATATATTTATAAAGTATTCACCGTTAATATATTTGTCAAATTTAAATCATTTTCGAAAATTAATCTAATAATTTTAATGTCACGTAATTTTTTTAAAAGAATTGTGGACGTTGATGCTTGAAAAGTAAGTTTTAATTAACACGAGTCTAATTGTAAGATGAGAAATTAAAGAATGGAATAGCAGTTTTGAAATCACGAAAAAAATTAGTTATCATGTCTAAATTTTAGCTATGAACACTGAAAAAATCCATGTATTCTTACATGGAAATTACTTGTTCAAAAATTACTTAATCTTTTTTAAAGTAAAAATATAGATAAAATTTTATTTATAACATTATTTTTTAGTATTTATACATTACTAGCATTTCATATGTGTAATTCTATATATTCAGTGCAATATTTTTAATCTTAAAAATATATAAGAATATATTTCATATATGAAATTACACATAATCTGTAATCTTCCATATAAGTATAAGAATAGTCGAAAAAACTCAGCAATTTCACACAAATATTTCTTAGCTAATATTTTTTAACATTCTTCATTAAACTATAGCTAAAAATATTAGTTACCGTAGTTAAAATTTAGACATGATCATTAAAATTCAGATTGCAATATAAGGCCAGCTAATAAAAAGCTAATGAAGCTAATTTTCTTTCCGTGAATGATAATAATGTTACGAACAAAAGAAGAACGAGATTTTTCCACGTAACCAGAAGGTTATGACACATCTACTTTCGAAAGCTTTAATAAACCGACATAGTTTGAGATCGAGATTAATGGCTATTTGTCAGGAACTGTCGAAACTGGACTCGCGAGCCAATTCGTCAGGAAGTGCGAGAACGTTCGATTCCGCCCGACCTCGGTTTGCGCTAACCCTAGTTCTCTTCCCCCTTCCCTCCTCGCCCCTTCTAGGCTGTTTCGTATTTTCGATACGAGAGCAAGGTCGGACAAGATCATCGTTGCTAATCATTAACGAGTCCTCTCTCTTCCCTCCCGTGTAAATTACACGCAATCGCGTAATACAAAGAATCTCGGAGATTTAGCGCTCTGAAAATGAATCGCGAGAGGCTGTCACTGTCAGCGACGAGACTTAACGCGAACGAGCGCTACATCACGTCCAGGAATCGACCGCAGGAGGCAGCGAACCGGTCGGTCGGTGCATCAGCTGAGAGCCCAGCTGAACCCAGAGAGAGCGGCCGCTGTAATAACCTCAACCTGCTCCCTCTTTCTCCCTCGCATACACATACACTCGCGCTCGCGCATATACGTATAGGTACACACATACACTTACGACGAATTTCGTATATAAAAGGCGCCGTCGACCGGCTGATAAACTATGGTTCAGAGCACGATACCTGGTCTGGATGTCCCGGCGTGCAGACGACGACGATGGGATGTGTCCGCGGAAATTCGCCGGCGTAGCCGCGAAAAAACACTTTTTCGAAGACCCACACTCTTGCACAATGGAATCTTCCAGTAGACTGACTGCGAGGCCGAGCCGGCGACGAAGCGAGCGGTGCGAGCCGTTCTACCTTGCGTGCGCACCCACCGTGCGGCGGCGGTGGCGGGTTCGGCTTTTTCGACGGGGGAGAAGAGACGCGGAAAAAAAGGAGAGACGCGAGATTTCGAGCCGCGATCTTCGGTGACCGGACGGTATACGAGGTCGTCCACGAGGGTTACGCGGCACTGGCACGATACGTCACGATGTCACGACGTCGCGTCACGTCACGTCACGTTACGTCGCGCACGTTCACTTTGCGCGGGCTCTCACATACAACACCTCGGCTACGACGCGAATGACAACGGTGCGGACGACGCGCGCGGTACCGCCGTGATGACAGTTCGGGCTCGCGAACTGTCACTCTCCCGCGAGCGGCCCCGCGACGACTCGATGCGCGCGCACGCGCGCCACCGCGCAGGCGCCATCTAGCGCCGCCAGAGAGGAAACACTTGGCCGTTCTGCCCGCCGCCGCGGCAGCAGCGACCACCTAGCAACAGAATCGATACCTCTCTCTCTCTTGCAAATAATATATGCCTCTCTCTTCTCTCTCTCTCTCTCTCTCTCTCTAATAAATAATTTGTGAACAATATATATAAGTTCCTTTTTAAATATTTTAGATATTCCCGCGACGTGATATATTAATGTTTTCTATCAAAAATCGGGAGAAATCGCGCTGTGCGTATATTTTTTCAGATGATTTCGATGCTGTAAAATTTATTAAATGCAATGATAAAAAGACGCTAGCCGCCATGTTGATTGGCGAAGTTACTTTGCTAAATAAATGTACTGATTTTTCAGTGTTACTTCTGTTTTATGGTATTCATTATTGACAGAGACTCGATATTATTTGTAAGAGGAATGCGAAAGTGGCATTGATAGTGCAATGCTGTTAATTACGGAACGAAAATGATAACACACGGTAGGCGGTCGGATGCTAGTCGCGAAGAAAGAACTTGCGAAACGCGAGTTTTACGAGGTGATTGTCGATCGACGTTAAATACGCGCACAAACGGATCACCGATTAAAGACGACGCGACAATAGCGATCGTACGCGATATTTATATCACACTGACGGCACTTCGTGAGGTATTTCGCGATATTCAACGAATTCTTCGCGCGCGAGATTCGTTGCCGGTCGTGGAGAAGTACAGACTGACCTAGCGGGCCAAGAATTTCAAACGTATCGATTGGCAATATTGCGATTCTCGAAGTACAGTATCGATGGATCGCACGCGGACCAATAGCATCGCAGCGATCGAGTTCACTTTAATTGCACTTCTTGCACTTAAAAGTGTGAAGAAAGTACATTTATATCTTCTATTTCTTTTTACGAGAAGGAGAAAAAAAAATAAGAAAAGCAAATAAAACTATTTGATATGAAAATAAAAATGTTAATGTTAGAGATGATTAAAAATATACTAAATTATTGCGAATTTTGACTTTTACAGCCAATTATAAAACGACGGCATATATATATATATATATATATATATATATATATACCTAATGTAATGACATATAATATATTATAATCATGCATCAATTAATCTCGTACTTTGAAGAAAAGTAATTTAAAAAATATAAAAATGATTTCTGTATAAAATTATTTGTCCAAGTGCAAGTCTCAAAATATCAAAATAACGTTTTAATTGTTAATAGAATTATTCAGAATGTTATAAAATGAAATGCAAACTATTTTAAATATCACAGAAATAATGTATTGATGTTAAAAACGTATTTGATATAATTCTTATTATTTTGAAAATAATAATATAAAATATTATAGAAGTGTGCGCGATAGAAACTTATTCATTTATCGTTTTTATATTAATTCTAAATAAATTGCGTAATTATTTAAAAATTCGTTTCAAAATGTCAGACGGTGACAAAACATATCGCAGAATGAAATAAGTGCCTCTATATAATATTATTGCTATTAAGTTTTATAAAAAATAACACTTTAAAATAAAATATATTTTTTAAAATGACATTATTTTAAAGCATCGCTGTTGTCTTTGATACGAATAATTATATATAGTTTTCTTTAAACTTTCTAAATTTTTGAAAACAGGTCGAAATTTTACATAGTAAAGTATCGATAAACTTTTTTAAAAAGATTACTATATATATTAATTAATATAAAAATATTTCTCATTACTAAGAATCAACTTTTGCTAACATTTTATTATAACAACTTGACATCTTTTGTACAAAAAAGAACATTTACAATACGCAACAACTTTTCAACTTTGCAAACGCGTATACGTTCCAATTGCACTTTCATTAAATAAATAATATCATTCTTTACATTTCAATTTGTTGATAATCCGTCTCTTGTAATTCTCTTCCTCTGGTTATACATGAGGAACATGTATTTATTTTTCTAAAATGGCACACGCGCGCACACGTTTCCCGCATATCGTTCGGTCGATCGATACCCCTATCTTTTTAACATCTTGTGCAAGCTATTTCTAATGCAATTCCGTAACGTCTAGATTGATTTCAATTGACACCTGTACAATTCAGTACAATCCGATGTAAGCATTAAGATTGATATTTTTTTTACGGATACTAACGTAGTTATGTAATTCAGGAGCTGTTCACGGAATATTTCTATAACTCATATGGCTATCGATGAATCGCAAATTGTTTCGCGATGATAATGATGATTGCGACAACAAGCGGACGCTGTAGTGTATTCTTACGATTATTGTAATCGCTTCTTGAGTCTTTGCGCAATAGCAGATACGAGCGCTGCACCCTTGCCGCTTCCATCTTCCGCGTGGATTAATTTGAACTGCACAATCAAAAAATAAATAAATTATTATACTAAGAAAAAAGCTTTTATTAAAATAATGGAAAAAAAATAATTATTTCCTATCTTTATAAAGAGAGAATAAAAAATTGTTATTATAAAATTATTAATATTATTATTAAATATTATTATAAAATAATAAAATTATTAGTAATGAAAGATAGTGTATTTAAAATTTTTAAAGCAGAACCTCGTGATGACATCAATCATTTTCTCTTTGCTCTTATAGCTAGACAACTTAATTGATATCCGCTTTATAAACGTACCTGTCGTCCTGAAGTAAGTAACGAGATATATTGCTTCATCCAGGTCTCTAATCGAGGATGATGCTTGTAGAGGGATCCATCTACGGCAACTGTAACTTGTTCCTTATCAATACGGTCCAGCAAACTCGCGATGCCTTTAACAAAAATCAATCAGTGAGATGTTTGTCTTTGCATCGAGCATAGTTGTAAGTAGCTTCATTAACTTACATATCGATACCAAAAGAGCCGCGCGATTAGAGGCGACCTCGCACACGTATTGAACGACATTGATGTCGTCCTCATCAGGAATGATGCCAAATTTCTTGATGACCTCCTTCGTGTTGCTATTACCGCCATCCACCGAGTCTCTGAAATTATTATACAAAACGATAAGCTAATTGTATAGGCTACGAATCATTATTATTAAGATTCCAATCAATTGGAGACTAACAATAAGACTTACTGTTCAATTTGCGATACCAGATCGGTAGTAAGGGTGCCAGGTGTGAAGAGTCTTTGTGTTGCGGTTTCTCCTACAAACAAAAGCCCCTCTTTGGTCAACTTCGCAAGTATCACGCGCACCACTTCACCAAGATATTTGCCAGCAATGTACTTTTCAAATCTAAAGAAAGAAATCATAATGTAACGCAAGGACCTTTACGAATCATTATATCTTGTTTCTTCTCTTTCTACAAATTCTTATTATATCATATATAAATTCAATAAATTATATCATATACAAATTTTATAAAGTATTTCTAGGAAAAAATTTGATTTATCGTTATGATTCACCGTTATCATTACTTTATCAACTGATCAATAAAAACGTCTCAATTATATTATAATTATTAAATCTTAATTATAATCATTTTTATTAATCCAGTTTGATATCCAAAACTTTTTTTCGTAGATAAACCGATAGTAACATAGATACTGATTTTCAAATATGATATTATCAGAAATAATATCCACTCCACGGGCGTGCACAAACAAAATAATTACAACATAATTACAGATAATACAACAAGATTTGCTCACTTACGTAAACGAATTCACGATAAGAGAATTGGCATCGTTCTCGCGATCGAAATCCGTTTTGATGAAATCCAAAACACCGTTGTCGCCAAATGCACCCCACTCGATATCAATGATGACCTAAAGTAAGGAAATCAAATTGATAATTTGCGTACCAAATACAGAGTGTAACAAAATATTTATTATTTAAAAAAGAATTTATAAAAAGATAAACTTTGCGATGTGTGTGTTGCTTTTTAAAAATAGAATATCTTTACCAAAAAAATAAAGATTTATCTAAAAGAATGTGACAGGATTTTTTTACATTACACATTTTAATTTAATACATTATCACGATCTCAATAACTCACTTCTCTCTCGCCGTGTCTCTCGGTTTCCCAATGTTCAACCCGGTCAGCTCGTTCCAAATAGCAGGCGTTGCTGCCGGTTCCCAGGATAAGTCCGATCGCTACATTATGATCCAGCGTTGAACCCTGCACCAAGGTACCCGTGGTGTCGTTCAGAACCGCCACGACCTTCACTTTCGTGTCACCTCGTCGGTCCAGGGCCTCTCGCAAAAGTTTCACGATGTCCTTATTCACGGCATCCGGACAGTTGAAAGTCTTGGTCCACGTAACGAGAATACCGACGTCCAGCGAGTGTTGGATCATCGGAAACGAGAATGTGAAACCTGCGTAGATGCGGCTGATCAAGGTTGGAAGTGAAAAGAATGTGAAGTGCGGATAATTATATATGCTAATGTAGCTGGTTATATTAATATGTAATCTTTCCGTCAATTTTCTATAACAGAAAAAAAATGTTTTCTCGTCTACTTCTGATGTCTCGTCTCTATTTATAGACGATCGTGCGGTGGTTTGCGTTTAATTAAAGATTTCGCGCGTTTGATATACTCTGACTGGTAGATATACCAAGGGATCAATTTACCGAGAGGAAGCTCTACGTCCTGAAGACCCTGTGCGATGACGAAATCACTGACACATTCAGCCAGATAATTAAACAGAGGGATTGTCGAGCCGACCCTTAACTCGGGTCCGATGTAATATCGCTTCACTTCCTGTCGTATGGGAGCACCGTGAGCCAATTCCAACAGGAGTACACGAAAGTTGGTTCCACCGAGATCGAGCGCCAAATAGAGACCTTCCTCTGCAAGTATTAAAATATACATTTTAATCTCTTCATATTGAATGGTGATAAAATTGTACATTTTCTTTTCTTTTTTCTATATATTCTTTAACTGTTTGGGAAAATGAAATTTCTTTTAATTTATTTGTAAAAAATTTCATAAGTAAATTATATCAGAAAAAAGTATCAGGAAAATATATTTTTCTTACATTAATGGTGATAAAATATTAAAATTTTATAAAAACAATTTTTATAAAATAATTTTGCATATAAATCCCCTTTTTTGCAGATACACTTCAAACATCCTACTTTCCTTCTTCATCCTTCTTATTTGAGACATAAAGAAATTAAATTAAAAATGTCACAGCACATGTGAATTTAGCAGACAAATTCAAGATTAATTATTGATAATAATTGTTGATACACAGAGAGAATATTCTCTTAGAATTTATCCTAAAATTCGTGGTAATCATGAGACAATATGATATTGGAAGAATTTTATAAGAGTCTGATAAATATTTATCTATGACAATAAGATATATAAAATATGTTTGATTAATTTTACTAAAATATATAGTAAAATTTCAATAATTTAAAACTCTATTAAAAATTTGATTCTTTAAATGTTTTAACATTAGAATATACGTCAAAAAGTGATAAACATATAAAATATTTTATATAAATTTTACAATGCAGCATAATATTTTCAATTTCCAGCTTAATCGTTCATGATAATTTTCATGATTTTAACATGCAGCGTAGTAATTTTCGACTAATTACAAACATGATAAAATTTGTAGTAAAATTGCGGTAAAATATCACGAAAAATTCTCTCCGTGTACATTTGTATGTATTGTGTTGGTTGTACACTTTATCGTCGAAATAAAATATTAATTCGACATAAATAGTTTCGTTCACTCTATCTCTGACAATAATGTCTTGTTAAGTAGTGATAAGACTTATGAGATATATATATAGTGTACGATGCGATATACGGCATCTCGTTGCGGAATTAAACACGCGGGAACTTCACTAATGACCTGTTCCATCGAGCAGTTCCGGTATATAGGTGTTCTCCATTTGTAACGAGGAAGATTGCTGATGGATTCCCTTATTCATTTCTGAAATAAAGACGTCCTGTATTTTCCGGGCGGTTGCCGCGGAAAATCGCATCTTCGCCGTTTGATTCTCAATCTGCGAACAGAGGTTTTTTCCCTTTTAAAAAAACGTGTTGCGCGTGACACGTGCATTTCATTATCTTTATGGCAATCTTGTCGTTCTCGTCACGACGATGAGAAGAAAAATGTACGATCCGTAAATCTTGGTGATATCTCGACAAATATGGTGTTGTTTACAACGTCTCGTTAAGTAGTTTCTAACAGGACTTTAAACAGACAGATGTAATGCTCGTTCGTAATGTACAAAGCAGCGTGAGAGTGTAGAATTAAAGTATATTTAACAAACAAGAGATTTATAAGACCCGGATATGTAATTCAAGTTTTCTTCCGTGACGCGATCATTAAATTATCGTCTAATTATTATACGTATTATTATTCATAATTGCAATATGGGAACTAATATAACAAATTTGCATACATTAGCTTTCTTATATAAATATAGTTTAAAAATGAAACAAATGTATATTTGTATATTTAAATATCATGCATTTTTACAAGATTATATACTATATTTCATTTATCGAAGCAAATAAATGCAGTAAACTGTGAGAAAATGCAAAACGTAAATGCATATTCATAAACTGTCGGTCTACATTAACATTTTATATCTTATTTCGTAAATGATTTCAAACTTAATTTCAAAATTATTACGCAGAATTCAATTTAATGCATTATTATAATTACATCATTTAAAACGCATTATTTATTGCATTATTAATGACTATCGATAACTTTTTCAGATATTTAGCTGATGAAATAAATTTCATGATGCAAAAAAGTAATTTTGCGTCATACAATTCTCGCTGTGTGTTTATGTTTGCTTTAGTATTTCAAGGAGTAAAAGTTTTTCCGCAAAATAGAATTGCTTCGTAATAGTAAATTAAAAAAAAAATTGTCGTGGATAATATTATAAGCTAAAGATCAGCTAAAATTTCTCTTTCCTTAATTCGATTGGTCGCCAGAGTCCACGTTGTTATCTACATTGATAAACTGTTCACATGTCTTGAACTTTTAATAACACGGATTACCTCTCGATAACCCTGCAGCTTAGAGAAGGAGATAAAAATCGATATTTTATGACGTTTGAGCCACGATAACCCAAAATCCGATTCAATCCACATTTACCCGGACTGTTCCGAGGGTGATGAATGTAATTGCAACGTTTATTTTATAATACTACTCGAATCGGAATTTTCTTCCCACTTTCAAGCTCAATGAAAAGTTTGAGAATCTCACGTGTGGATTTTAAAGGATTTTCGAGATTTAATTTTGTGAGCTATTTTGTATAAGAAATAAGCAGTAAACGAATAAATTTCGCATTTAAAGATTTAAGAGAGAAAAATTTTCGTAATTATAGTTTAAATAAATTCAGAACAGAGGAGATCTGACTGTTTAAATTATTAAAGTAAATGTTGGATTATAAATCGAAAGTAGAAAAAAAATTTCGATTTAAATATACGCGACTCTCTTTATTAACTAAACATAAAGTTATAATTAACGGGCCTTTTTATAATATCTTTCCCATCGCTCCAAATTTTAGAGACGGTATAATTAAAGTATATGATAATTAAAGAAATCTTATTAAAAGAAAATCAAAGAGAAAAATGATGTTGTATCATTAATTACAGACACTTTTCACAAGTTACTTCTGAATAAAATTTACCGAGTTTATCAAGATTTATTCGATCCAAGATAAAGTCTGTCGAAAATTCCAACGTGTAATCTCCCTTTATGTACTTGTTGTGCTCGAGTATTATAACGACCTCTTACAATTCCGATGTTAGCAATTAGAAAGAAAGTACTCGATTTTTCCTTTTTTTCTTTTTTTTTATAAAAAAGTTATTTTCATAAAAAAATATTACGTGCAATAATTCGTATATGATGACATGTAATACAACTGATACGATATCTAATCTATACGTGGTACGATTGGCATAAATGAAATGGGAAAATATATCTATTTGTACGATCGTTTCGTGTCACTAAACTTTAAATTAATGTCGCAAGATTAAGAACTTTATTCGCCTTGTACATAATTCAGGATTGAGCTGAATTCATGAATAATCCAAAAATTCATCATTTATTTTCTCAACACGTGTCGTAAAAAATCGGCGGATTCAATAATGCTTTATAGATTCAGAAGATGAATTTGAGCAAAAATCTAAACAAAAATTACATTGCAGTTTCTCTTTGTTTCATATCTTTTTTTTGTTTAAATAAATTATTATTTTAACCTATTATTTATAAAAAGTTTCCTTCGTGTTCACATCTGATGATTTATAAAAAAATCCGCATGTCTGATATTCATTTAGAGAAATATATAAAATAATAGCTCAAGAAAATAACTATGAACAAGTTGAACGGATGACATGTATTGCATCGCTTTCTCAGTAAAAAATATTTCTTTTTATTCTAATTTTTAATAAAGAATAATTTATTTTGCAGGTTTTCTATCCTCCAACGAGAATTCATCTACAAATCGTGCGTTGATCGTTATTTACTTCGTTATTTACATACATCTTTATCACACGAGATTCTGATATAATATCAGCTTCAACTGCATCGTACGATGAGTGTGAGAGAGCAGAAGTTCAGGGTGAACAATTTATGAAATTAAGCGTTTAAGATATGAGATGGATGTTATAACATTTATTCGCAAACATACATATATGCTGACAAATACAAAGTATGTATCGGTTATAAAGTTCAAATATATACTCACTTTTTGTCGTCTAACATCGTCGGAAAGTATCAGGGGCGATACTTGAATCGCCTCGTGGAGCGCACGATCCTTTGGTACAACCATGTCGAAAGCTTATCGAATTTCTGAAAGAAAAGAGAAAGAAAACATCGATATGTAATCAGGAAAGTTTATAAAATATCACAGCTAACTCGACGCAGCAGCAGCAGCGAGGTCAGAAACATCTTGGTTTAATCACAAATAGTATTTCCACAAAAAATAAGTTTCAAAATTAAATATATCAAGTAATTAGAAATTGTTTTATCTCGTCAATTAGCAATCTATATTAAGAGGGGATATAAAAAGAGGCATAAAAAATAGCCATATATTCATGAATTTTTTCTCGGAAAGTATTAGAATTATCATAATAAGGTTTTATTATATGTATATTTAGTAATATAAAATAAAATTTTTATTGAAAAATATTAAAAAATGTGGCAGATATTTCTATTTTTTAAAATTCGCAATATTTGTAAAACAATATTTATTTGAATATAAGAACAAATTTTTTATTTATCGTTTTTTGGCTGTTAAAAAAATCCTACGATAAAAAATAGATTTATCAGTATATTTTAAGAATCAATCGAACTTCTTTGTTTCAAATAAACCATTATAAATTGCATATTGGATACCGTAAAACGCAACAGAATCCGATCAGCAGCAATATCTGCCAGATTTTTAAATATTTTTCAATAAGTATTTTACCTTATATATAGATATATTACTAAAAATACATATAATAAATTGGTGAAAATTTTGATAATCCTAATATTTTCTAAAAAAAATTCATGAATATAAGGCAATTTTTGGTGCCCCCTTAATTTCCTAAATTGAAAAGATCTAAGATGAAGAAAGAACTCATGAAGTAAAAAAATAAAGAAACACGTGTGTATATATAAAAATCTGTATTATTGTAATGAAATGGTGGAATTAAAGTGTCATCAAAGGTAATATTTTAATAAAACTCTAAAAGATAGACTCTTTCTGTGTTTCTAATAAAATTCTACTTCTAATAAATTAATGTAGAGCATGTTGTATAAATGTCTGCAATAATATACTGATTAGGCACCAAATAAAATATTGTAGTAGATATCACGTAGACACAACGTTCAGTTTTTTAATAATCGTTTTTTCTATTATCACAACGATTTAGTGCGTAGTACACACCCGTAAGTGTAACTTTATGTATCAGCAGGGTCAGTAGACGGTCTCAGCTTTATCAATATGTGTGACGTATATCCGCATGACGAGGGCACACTCGTTATCTATCGAGTACTCTCTTCTTCCGAACAAGATTGACATTTTTTTCTCCTAACTCGGTTAAATCGATTTTCTTAAATAATCTTCCTGACTATAACTTGCATTTTTTTTACTAAAATTGAATAAATTCTTTATAGAAGTTTTCTATTTTTAACATACTCTTTTAATTAAGCGTATACAAAAAAGATGAAATACAAAAAATATAAAAAATAAAAAATCTTATTGATTTTTCTATTCTTCTTTTTAATTAAATATTCTTAGCTATAAACTGTTCTTTTAATAATAGCTTTTCTAAATTAAATAAAAACTGGAATTCAAATAACTGATTTTTCTTATGTATAAACCGTAAAAAGAATAATATTATTTGTATATTTTATTATATATATTTTACATTTATATTATTTTGCATAGTATCGTAACCTAATAAATTCCTCAAGCTTTAATTGTTATGTATGAAAAATGTATACGACTGCACTTAATAAGATCACATACAATATGCAATAATTAATTATGTTTATTTCGTCTGGCTTGAAAAATAATGCTTGGTTTAATAATTGATAACACGATTTGTTATGCTCATAAATCGTGTGCGTCGTAGTAAGATAGAGTCCCCCTCGTCATAAATAAATTTGTGTATCGCCCTAAATCAATTTCACAGCCTCGATTGGGAATTCCCAAAAAATGGAACGCGTTGCATCAGCGGTTGTAAATGGAAAAATACTTATAATTAACTGAATGTTTCATGAACTCTCTACATCACCGAGTTTTAAATACGTGAGATTAAATTCACAAGTCATTAAGAAGACAACATAGTGAATTGTTACAGTCTCGAGTCGGCTGCATTAAAATGTCAGAAGCAGCATTTTAATTAAAACATAATCGTGATTATGTTTTACAGATTTTAAAAAATGATTCTCAAATGACGATAGAGAATCTAAATTAGGGTCATGTTAAATAAATAAATGTATATATATATATATATATATATATATATATATATTATATATATAGTTATTAAAAAAGTCAACTTTACCGATAACGATTCTCGATCAAACTCGATCGTCCATTCGAATAAATGTTAATTCTGTCGTGAGCGTTTAAATATCAATTCATCGAGTAGACATCGTCGATGTCCTCTACGAAGCTACATTATTGTATGTGTAACAATGTATTTATTAACAGCTATTTACATATAACAAGGCCATGAAAACCCAACCGACTATCTTTCAAGTTCGATTGACTTTCAGATAATGTGTCATCATTACGTATAATTTCTATCAATTCCACATTCATCTCGTTATACGCACTTCGTCCAATTTTAATCTCAAGGTGATCGGAGAAATTCTGCTCTCACCAGTATTTGACCTAAATATACATTTATCGCAATACTGCATATAGCATTCACAGAACGCAGAGATTTGGACACAGAATTTTGCACGCATTAATAATTTAAAAATAAAATAAAATACAAAATAAAGAAAAGAAAGTCGATGATAATTCTATAAAATAATAATTTCATTTTTAATTATATAATGTATAAATTATACAATGTATATAAATTATATAATAATTATATAAAATTATATAAATAAATTATATAAAATAAATTATATAATGTATAAATTATATAAAATTATAAAATTTATATAATGTGTTTGTAATTGATAATTAATATATTTAAGATTCGATATAGAGAGCGCTATCTTGGATATTCTACAAGCGTAAAGATTAGAAAATTTAGATCGACCTAAGACCTAAATGAATGTATTCATTTCTCAGCTGTAACACAATATCCTGACCGTAAATCTCGTTGTGTGATTTTACGAGATCAGGTAGGCGAGCAGCTGCGAAAAGCGCAGCTAGAATATTCTTTCCTAGCTGCAAACTGATGGCGAATGAGGCTCTATTGAAATCAATTGAAAGGTGCAAAACGTCAACCGAGATAATTCAGCCAGTTGACCTGCCGTGACGATTCTAATCCAGAGTGCAACACGCACTCGTTTGTCACCCTTTCGATAACGAGCCCGCTATTTCGCTAGACTGCGTCTTTTTCATCTTTTACGAGCGGAAAACGCGCGATGCCGTTTCTTGACACTTCGTAATCGACTATCCATCCTCCATTTATCACACTCTATAGCGATCAAGGCATCAGCTATTAACCGAATCTGACGTAAGCACAACATTGTTCCTACCGCGAGATTAATGAAGCCGCAAGGATTCCGGATAATTTAACTTGCAATTTTATCAATGCCAAATGTCGCGTAAAACATTCCGTGGGTTTAATTCTAATTTCATTCCAATTTTACTTGTATATAGTTTATAAATTTTTTTTAAGTATTATTATATTAAATATCGGAATATATACACTGAGAAAAAAAAGTTATTAACTTGACTAAATCGTTGAACTAATTACTATTTTGTTAATTGAATATATAGAAGTATTTAAATTAAATACAACATATAACGCGTTTTGACTTAAATACTTATATATGTCTAATTAACAAAATAGTAATTAGTTGAATAATTTAGTCAAGTTAACAACTTTTTTTCAGTGTAATATCTCAAATAAAAATTATATTAATATTTATTTAAAATCTAGCTAAATAATAGAATCCAGGGACTCGCTAGTTTTTCTTGAATTATAACTTTAAAATCAAATATATCGAGATATTTTTAAAAGAAAAAATATATAAATATTTTCAAAAAAAATGTATCATTACGTGCATTAAACGCGTCTATTATGGAGAGAGAGAAAACAGATAAATGTGTAAAAAAATTATATCGTATTTAAACAGATAAATATGTAAAAGAATTATATCACACATTCGTAGCATATCTTAATTTTCTATAATCAAATGCGAAAAATAGTAGGAGTTGTAGCTTCAGAGCAAAGAGAACTTTTTTCTTTTTATATAACAATTTTTTTCAATTAAATTAAAATCAAACAACAAGGGATTGTTTCAATTTTTTAATGTTTTAACGAGAAGCAATTTCGTTGCAATTTTCAAGATTGGGCGCTAAAACAAAAGCAGGAAATGCAACGTGCAATTTATTTTTGTTATGAAAGAGTAATATATATATGTACATACATACATACTCGAAATTACAATTAGTCGATATTGTACAACTCTTGAGAGATTAGGTCTGGCGTCAAGTGCACTCCGGTTATCTAATCGAGTGCGCTTCTCCAAACAGCTACCTACCGTTTGAATAATGGAACTTCCGTAATTCATGACTATTATCAGCAAGGGCACCGAATAAATCTCGGTGAGATGCGTAAGTGTCAAAGACAGGAATGCGCGAGATTCGCATTCTCGAATAAATTTCTCTCTATACATATTTATCGCATTCGATTTAAGATTCAATAAATTTTTGTGAGAAATTGCAATCAAAAGGGAGACATCCTTTTAAGAGATTCGCAAAATGATACGAGAACGCTAATTTTAATTACGTCAACTTAGCAAAGAGGTTTTAAATATACATAGAAAGAACACTTTTTTTAAATGAAGCACTTTCTCATATAATTACGATGGACGTCTGTTCTTTATTTTAGAGGACAGGCCTTTATTTCGATTAACTGTCCTTTAGATTTATTCATTTTTTTAAAACTCAATTTTATCCTTTATTTTTTATTAACACGAGAATTTGGAAAACGAAATCTCTTATCTGAAATTTATTTAAGAAATCAAGAATTTATTTCGACATAGTCGAATCAGTTTCAAACTGTAAGAATAAGAAATTGATTTGGAAATATGTCGTGAAACAAAGCTCTAAAAATTATTTAACATGTCCTTTATCTTTTTTCTCAGAAAATATATGATCGCCGTACATATAATACATAAAAGTAAAATATCTAACAGAGACGAAAACTGAAACGACAAACTTTTAATTCTTGGAACGAAATAAAAGTCAAAGTTGCATAAATAACATTACGCGGTGCGATAACGTTCTGTCAAATGAACGAAGCGCAGCGAATGTTACGCGAACTGATGCAGAATGATTTTTATCGCGATATCCTTACATTTAGTCATATAGTTGTAATTGACGCCGTAATAATATATCTCATGAGAAACACGCTACCGCGATCCGATGACGTCTCTGCTATTCGGCGGAACCGGTCGAAATATCGCTGCTAACGATCTTACGTCAATTACACGGTGTAATTTCGAAACTCTGTATAAGGAATAAACACACGAGACCAGATAAAGTGGCTCGGCCAGATTGTATTTTCGAGAGAGACCTTGCATATCTTACGACCACGCTATCAGCTGAAAGAAACCTTAACGGAACGCGTTCCCGGAGTACATTAATTTGCGTACGTTCGCTGTTTGGTGAGAAAATACACGCGGATTTTTTTTTGTGCATGTCATTGAAGTCGTATTAACCGATAGCAAAAGGATTTTTCTTTCATACATACGGTGATCATATTTTCTGACAGAAAAAAAAGGATAAAAATTTAGAGCTTCATTTCAACCTGTTTTCAAATCCATTTACGAGCAAAGTAAAGATCGACGAGCAATCAGAAGTTTTCGTACTAATAATTTCCATGTTAATATTACATTAGACATTAAAACGCTAAATAAAAAATAAAAGACAATATTGTAATATAAAAGACAACATTTTAAAAATAAAGAAGAAATTGAATTTTGGAAAAATAAATAAATTTGAAGGACAACTACTTGAAATAAAAAACTGTCTTCTAAAATAAAGAACAGTCACCGTATTCATACACTAAAAAATTGTTAACTTAACTATACTGTTTAACTACATTACTATTTTATTAATTAAATATATATTAGTATTTAAGTCAAATATACACAGAAAGAATTTTCACTTAGAATTTACCCTGAAAAATTTTTAAAAAAGCGAAAACAGATTAATAATGTACATAGTAAATTTCACTATATACATAGTAAAATTAATCGAACATATTTTATATCTTATTGTGGTAAATATTAATATTTTTTATTGCTGTAAATATTAATCAGAAAAGCTCTTATAAAATTTTTTCAATACGTATTGCCCTACAATTATCATGATTTTCAGGGTAAATTCTAATAAGAAAAAATTCTCTATGTACATTTTGTTAAATTCAATATGTTGTAGGTATTTTAATTTAAGTATTTCTACATATTCAATAAACAAAATAATATTTAGTTGAACAATTTAGTCAAGTTAACAATTTTTTTCAGTGTACAAGATGTGAATTTATCTCGGAAATGCGTGGAAGTTTCAAGTGAAACAATTCAAATAAAATTTAATTAAATTTTGTTGTAAATTAAGGTCCGATTTTTCCCACTTCTCGGTGAGTTTTACCTGAAAGGTAGCATATTTTTGAATAAGTTCTAAAAAGCTCTTCAAATAAGTTCTAAAAAAAGAGACAAAGATATGCTACTTGTCGGGTAAAACTTACCAAGAGTTGGAACAACCAGCCCTTAATGAGAAATGTTGAAAAGATTTAAATAAATACCTACATAATAATTAAAGATATAGTATATGAAATATACATATTATAATATCTTCGAAAAGATATAATATATGTATGTGTAAAATGTATTATACCTTCAATTAATAAAATAATAAAATGTAATTAATAAAATTAAATTAATAATAATACACAAATTTTAATTAATAATAATAATACATTTTTTGCAACTTTAATTGAAAAATATTGAATTTATATATGTATAATAAATTAAAGATAAAATATACAGCACACGTTTACGTAATACGTATTATACAATCATGATGATTCGATTTTTCGATTGATAAATCTTTCGAGACAAAATTAGATGCAAAGTATTAAATACTCGAATGGAATTTCGTCATAGAATTTTTTCAACTTTCCTCCAATTTTTCTAATCGCTTATCATGACCATATATCTCAATCAAACAACTACTTATTAATGTCTGTGACCGATAACTAGATCCCGGAGCTACGGGCAATCTAAAAACGCGCAATCGATAAGGCAATTTAACGGATTAACGTTCCGATAACGCGTAATTCCGGTTTGAGAAAGAAAAAATGCAAAATACGGCAATTAAATATGTATGGGGAAGTTTTGTCGCGCGACTGCATTCCACGACGAACGGAATGCTTCTATAACGAGAGTCACGTGTTTACAACATCGTGTAATACTCGGCGAGACGATGCGATGGTATGCACGACACGTTTAATATTTCAAGGACCCACGTGGTTCTCTCACCGGCAAAGTAAACATCGCGGAGAAGCCGGGGCGGATCTTGATATATCTAAACCGCGCGATGACATCTTGATTGTGCGTCTCGAGTGAAAGCTATTGTTTGCTCGAAAACGAGGGCCAAATCGGAGCAGTCGATAGATCAATCAACTTGATAAATCAACTTGAAGAATTGCGATTCGCGCAAGCTGCGTATCTCATTGGAAAGCCAATGGCGCGTCCTTGTAATCGTCGTGATTTATCGACAAAAAGATGTCATTTTATCTTCGATTTCTCTAATATTTAATGGCCTCGCTTTTAATTTTATTTTCAATAATAATAATATTATTCGTGCTAACGCGATAGAAAAGAGAAATGACTGTTATCAAATAATCTATTTTGCGAGAGCAACACGATATGATTTATTCGACTTCGAATATGTAGAATGTGTCGCTCGTAAATTAAATGCAAATTGCCTGTAACAATATGTCAAGAGCAGTACCTTGAAAGTGACTCGAATCGAAGTTCCGAACTCCGCGGTTCACTAAATCAATGCATACTTATTTTTGTTTTTACCTGTAGCACAAAATCTCAAAAATACAGAAGAATGAGAAACCTGTGGCTTTTTTAAGAGAAAATATAATTACCTAACCTAACCTAACAAAAACATTTTTATAACTTTTATTTTTTTTAATATATATCTAATTATTAGGAAAAAATATATAATTTTGACATATAACGTTTACGTTTATATCAATGAATTTCGTGAAATTTTGTCTCATTCAGAAGAACCTGAGCACTGTTTTTATACCGGAATATCCTTCTCATTTATGCCATACGCAGCACACTCGATTATCATGTTATTTACTCTACAAGTAGAGACGTTCCATCAAAACAAAACATTTCGCATTCAACAGTATACAGAGTATAATGAGACAGTTCGAGGAAAATTCAATTTACGTATTTGACAGCTAGAGCTATCGACAGGTGGATAGTCATCGAGATTGAATCGGATGGCGCGTTTTTGACAGACGCGCGCGCGACACCCGCGACATACTTCACACAGTACCTGAGACGACCCTGTATACGCGCTTCCTCCTTCAAAGTCGGTCCTGATGAGACGAGTGACGTCGGGGCTGATCTCCTCCTCGATGTAACACAAACGCGGATGCGAGACCGATGGTGAAATACACCCGCCACGGCCGAGCGACGACTGGTCGTGCCTCCGGACGAGCTTCCCCCGTGTATCGCGCGATCAACCAACCGGCCGGCTCGCGAGATCTACCACTACTGACGCGGCGTACGTCACTATCTCGATCGCGCGCACGCGGAGCGCGAGAAGTCGCAGCGGGAAGGGAGAAGGCGGTGTGACGTTTACGTAAACAGAGAGGCCTGTCGTGAATCGGTGAGTAATTGTGTACGGCGTGATTGTTTTTGTATTATTATTGCTACACTCGAGGCAAACATATATATGTACGTGTTTGTTTTGATAGTTTCCGAGATTCTCGATTCACGGAACTTCGAATTCTCTCTCTCTCTTCGATTTTGAGATATTTCGAGATATATCGATCCTATGAATTTAAGAGTCTGAAGTTTGAAACGCATGCTTCACTTCGGACGATACAATAATATTTTGATGAGTATTTGACCGAATGTTATTTTGATTTTCTATATACATGTTTACAATTAAAAGTCTTAAAGTTAACATTGTTTTAATTCGAAATAAAGTGAGAGAATATTTGTGTTGGAATTACGTGTTTTGATAGTTATTTTATAACCATATCTTGAAATATTTATAATTATAAATCGGAAATCTTTTGATCAAAGACCTTGTATATATAAGGAAAAATTGATTTTGGAGTGATTAAAGAATACACTTGTGCAGTTTAATGAATTAATTAAGTCGAAGCACGAGTATCGACCACCGACTGCTTGACAAAGAACAAGTGGAAGCACGTGAATTGTTCAAGAGTAAGTTCAAACATTATATAATCTTCATTCGGATGAGTAAAAAGCGAAATTAATTGGATGTAGAAATTATTGTCATTCTATTGATATTGCGTTAATTTCTATCGCAATTGGAGGAATGTTGAAATCAACCTTAAAAATTAAAAATGATGGAATATGTCACTATAGATAAGGCAGCGCATAAATAGACGCTGTTGTAAACAATTTGAAGATTTCAATTGAAAAAATCGGCACATGAATATATAAATGCTGTTGCAAACATTTTGAAGATTTAAATTTAAAAAAATTTAAATAATAGAAATAAAAATCTGAAAGAATTTTAATTATTTTCTCACGTGCGACACGTTCGTTTTTTTTCCTTCTAAAAATACTTTTCTACTATATCAAATCAATTTTTCCGAATGTAAAATTTGAAAATAAAAATTCTAATTTTAAACAAACTATTTAAATTAAATATTTTAATTAAAATTTAAAAAACTGAACGAAATATGTTGTCGAATTGTTTATGATTGCACGTGGTTTTCGCATCGCGTGACAGTCATTATATCGGTCTATTAATTCTCAGCACACTAAACCCACGCATACACGCGTAAATTTGTACGAATCTGATGAAACGGATCCAATGCATCGTCTGTTTTTTCATCTTCACTCGCTTTATCTTCAAATCCAATTTTTTAGTGCATATGTTATCTGGAATGTAAAAAATTCGTTTTATCTCGAAAGAAAAAAAATCGTAATCAGCGCTTATTCCAGAGAGATCTCACTGAGAAATTACACACGAATGCGCATAAATAAATTAAGAAGCAATTTAATTAGGCAATATCTGTTATTTTGATCTAAAAATATATTTTTAAATATTACAGTTTTTCAATAAATATAAATTATTACTATTTATTAACGTGTATGTGTATATATCAAATATTCTTGCAAGATTTTATAAAAAATTATACATTATATATATATAATGTTTTATAAAGTCATTAGATAAAAATTGTAAGAGAAAATTATATAATATACATACTCCTTAAATTGCATAGAAATGTATATAAAATACATAGATATATACGAACAAGCAATAAGTAACATCCGTCTCGACAGACTACATAAGCTGAATGGAGTTTGATTAGAACAGCCGATATGTGTTTAAATTTAGATCATTGCAATTGCCCGACCCTAACAGGCCCGTATAAATCATTTCCCTTTAGTGAAGACCAATCTTACATGCCTCTATGTTCGATTGGATTGGATTGTACTTCATAATCGATTGAATAAAATATCGATGAAGCGTTAAATAATGTGATATTAATTGTACTATGAACAAATAATAAAGTTCATCATATTTTAATAATTTTAATAAATGCAATAAATTGCTATTTGTGTATGAAATTTCTATTAAAAAAATATAATTATTAAAAAAATATTTTAATACTACAAATTTTTGAAGAGTCATTAAGAAATAATATTGTGGTAAATTTTTCAAAATAAAGTCGCTGTAATAATGATTCTGTAATTCTGTAATACGCAGTGTGATAAAGAGATTCCACGAATAGGGGCATTGACATATAGGGTTAATAAGAGATGTCAAATGTGATCAATTCGCATGACCGCACTTCGAAAATATAGTGGAGAGCATTTCATCGTCTTGACGCGTCTCAACGTTTAATATCTAAAGTATTAATACAACTGTGTGTAAATACGCGCACATATATATCGCAAACTTGGATGGATAACTTTTTTATAAGTGAGATTTTATTGCACAATCATGATAGAGAACTAAACACTTAACTAACTGCTAATGATAATATCGTATAGTATTGTATAAAAATAATTAAACGTATAATATATGCACGTACGAACACTATATATATTAAACGCTATATTAAATTTATCATAAATTATGTTAAACAAACTAGAACATATTGCAAAAAATATTTAAAATGCGAATAAAGTAATAATATGAATTAGTACAATATATTTATTTTAATAAAATTATCAATTTTTCACAACTTTCATTTTTACTAATTTTCTACTTTTTTCGAATATATGATTTAAATATTAATACATGCGCTCATAATAATATAATTTGCATATTTTTTACTATTTCTAATTAGATTTATATTAAAAAACATATAAATCTATATAACAATTACGTAACCAACACGATGTTATCACTCGGGTAATAGATCATCTCCAAGTTCTTCGTCACCAAAATCATCATCTCGTTTTCCGGCTGCTGTCATAGGACGAGTAGGGAGTGGTCCTATGGGATCTGTATAACTCGTACCTGAAAATAATTGGAAATATAAAGAAAAAAGCAAAAAACAAAGCTATTACTTTTATGATTCTAATAATATTCAAATCAATAAATGAGTGTATGTATGTGTTTGTATTGTGTAATTGACACATGTTCTAAAATGGAACTCGAAATTATATAACCATAATAAATATATATATTTATTAATGTGATATTGTTTGTGATGTGGTATTGACTTAATATGTAAATATCCTAGCAATGTCTGTTTTTGGATTCACAACTCGAATCATATATAACTATTTGTCAGGTATTAAGTGATAAAGAGAGAATAAAAATAGACAAGTAAAAGTGGCTGCAGCCATCCATCATTTATTCAATCCATTAGAGTGGCTCGCGCACCACCTGTAGATCACCTTTGCCGATGTTTGCTTTCAATGGAAGTGTGCATAATGCTAAAGCATTAATAATCGAATAATCGTTGAATTTTCCATCACATAATGTTACAATGGTATGATAAAATATCTCACCTAATAATAAAACTAAATTAGAGATATAAAATTAAAAATGTAAAATATGGAAATAAAATCATAATATAAAATATATTAAATCTATAATTTTATATATTATATATTATATAAAATTATAGATTTAATATATCTACACTTAAAAGATTCTTAGACTTATAAAAGATAATAACTATATGTATAAGAAGCACGAGATAATGGAGATTTCAAAATACATGAAAAGTGATTATATTTCTTGAAATTTTTTGTATGATTGTACCTTGATAATCGTTCCGACCTGAGATTGGTCGTCGATCCGAACTTGATCTGTGGTCTGATAGACTCACTCCTGAACCACCTCGCGATGATGTTCCACTATTGCTCTTTCTAGATCCTGCATAAAATATATGATCAAATTATAGGTAAAAAAAAATAATTTAAAATAATTTAAATTTTTTGTAAAGTCTATTACAAAAAATTTAGATTGTTTTAATAAAAAGCTGACCCATAAAGATTTGTTTTTTACAAGATAGAATAATTTTATATATTAAAAAAAAAATAGTTGATCATATATAGAATTATTGCAATCGTTATTATATCATTAATTCTATTGAGTTAATTAAAATACATAACAATTGTCAGATTATACATATATATATATATATATATATATATATATATATATATATATATATATATAATCTGTTATTGTAGGCTAATTAAAATATATGTATTTACCTGTAGTGCCTGGTCTTGCTGAACCTTGTCTCTCTTTTAATTCTTTAGCTTTTTCAGCCTTCTTCAATTCAGCTGCATACATTTGTGCTTCTTTCAAACCCATATCACTACACAGTCTGATCAAAAACTTTAGGCATTCTATATTATCTGGAAATTTATTGTGAATATCTTGATACTCCGTGAGAGCTTTATGAAATTGTCCAGTGCGTCTTAAACAGGCAGCTACTAATAATCTCCATCTTGGTTCATCTGGTGCGAGTTCTACTGCTTTTTCAAAATAAGTCAATGCCTTTTCAGCAACCTTAAAATAGAAATTTAAGAAATATATATATAGAATATTTTTAATTTAATTTTATCAAAAGTTTATATTGCAAATAATAAAATGCTATACCTGCATCGATATGAAATATGATCCAATCCAATCTATCACTTCAAAATTTGCAGGATAGAATCTGTGAGACTGTAACAAATATATACAATTAATAAATATAAATAAAAAATATTGATGACACAACAGAATAGATAGTCAAAGATAACTTAATAAGTAGAAATAGAAAATTTACACTTACATCATTATAAAAACTGAAATGCTTGCTGCTTGTCTCCTATCGAGTCATACATTTCTCCCAATTTTTGTAGAACTCCTGGGTCGGATGATAATATCCCTAACAATTGATTATACCTGCAATATATTCCAAATGTGAGAATCAAATTAATTACGTTCAGAAATTAATACCACACAAATTTTAGTAAAATGACAATAATAACAATAAATTAGTTACAAAAGTTAAGAAAAATATATAACTTAACAAAATAACTTAACCATTCAGATGCTTGATCGATATC